CCGCTTGGAGCCTGAGTATGCAGATTAACCGCCATCTTCTAGTTTCTATAATTGAAACATTGTATCTTTTGGAGCTGTTGCTTCAGGAGCTCAGAGCCCCGCAGCTGCAGGCGGGAACCTTGGTTTCCTCTATCGCTGGGGCAACCAAGCATCCTGTTCTCAGCTGCCTGGCTGCCTGCCGCCATCTTGGCTGACAGTTAATTTGCATATACTCACTGATTAGCCAATGAAAAGGGTAGCGGTCGTACGCTAATTACCATGTTTCTCTTTTATTGGTGTAGATATATATATATTTTTAAAGAAGGGTGAAATACCAAGGTTATTATAAGGAAGATTATAAAGAGGTGTCAGGGAAATTACAGAGAGTAAACAAGGCAAAAGAGCTAAAAATGTCATCTGAGATTATATGTGGGGCTGGCTAAAATTAAGAAAGGTAGATATGGCAGTGTTATGACAAAAGAGACATTCTAGTGGAAGAAATAATATAGGATGGGTATAGCTTCAGAGGTAGAGAAGCATAAAGCAGATTGTGTGGTGAAAATAACTAGTCTTCAAGTTAGCCTTAGAGAGGCTAGGAGTGAGACATGAGAAGGTGGTTTTAGTTTCAGTTAAAATATATGCTCTCATATGTTCTTGGGATTGATATTAACAAATAAATGAGTTTTCCTGAAGAAGTTCATAGTTTATGACAAATTCATGTACGAGTAGAAATAGGCTCCTCCATAATTAGTTTTGTAAACTTGATTTAACTTCTTGAAAGGAGAGGTTTGAATTACATTATTATTGTGGTCTCTTTCAGCTCTGCATATGTTGGTAGAACTCTTGAAACACTTGTAACACACATTATATTCTAATTAGTTGTATGTATATTACTTTCTAATTAGATTTTGAGCTTCTTCAGTTAGGAACTATATTTTCAGTATTTACCACAAGGCTATGAAACATGCAGCAATGTAATATTGCTAGTTAGTCCATTGCAATTGGAATAACCTAATATATGGCTTAAGAGAAAACCCAAAAGTTGTTCATCAGATGTGAGTGTTAAAAATCCTGTATAATAAAAGGTCTGCAAATTGACCAAATGGCAGGACAACTGGTCACTATTATGCGCACTGACCACCAGGGGGCAGACGTTCAACGCAGGAGCTGCCCCTGGTGGCCAGTGTGCTCCCACAGGGGAGTGCTGCTCAACCAGAAGCCGGGCTCACAGCTGGCAAGTGCAGCTGTGGTGGTGGGAACCTCTCCCGCCTCCCCGGCAGCGCTAAGAACCCCTCAGGGGATGTCCGATTGCCAGTGGGGAGCAGGCCTAAGCTGGCAATTGGATATCCCCTAAGGTAGCGGTTCTCAACCAGTGGGTCGCGACCCTTTTGGGGGTCGAATGACCCTTTCACAGGGGTCACCTAAGACCATCAGAAAACACATATATAATTACATATTGTTTTTGTGATTAATCACTATGCTTTAATTAT